AAAAAAAAAAAAAAAAAAAAAAAACACCAAACCAAAAAAACCAACCCCCCAAAAAAAAACCCTAAAACATGGCTAGGTTGTTTTGCTCAGTGAATGTGAGTCAGAGCTGTCATTAAGACCCCACAACACTCTGCTCTATAAAGGAGCAAAAGAAGTCTGAACAGGAGGAGTGATACAGGGATGTACAGAGGGCTGCAGATGGGAAAGGCAGCACCTTCCATAGGGCTTTACTTTTGAAAGTGATAGGTGCCAAAGGAATTTGCTAGCTATAGATACAAATCGTAGTGCTATAGTTGTGTTCTTTGTATTGAAGATCACTAGGAGAGTAGGATGAAAACACTCAATGCCTAATGCAATGAAGCAAAAGGCAGTATTGGCTTACTGTCTTTAGAAAAACAGTGAAATAAATATTCCTATATACTAACTTTCAGCATGTCTTGAATCTTAAAATCTGTAATTCATTATTCCTCAATAATGCTGTTTCAAATTTATTTAAAAGAAAGTTTGTTTATTGGAAAGTGCTACTAATGTGAAACTGAAATTTGCTAGGGAGAGATGTCAGTTTTAATGAAACTTATCTGAAAAATCAAACCAAATCATTTTTTACCTTATCAGAATGGAATGTTTGGAATTCTGTACATAGTTTCAGAACTAAAAATGAATGTAGTACACTATGAAAGACAAACTGGAACAAACAGTGACTTTTTAATGTTAAATTCTCATCAGGAATGAAAAGAAGGTATTTTTAGAATTTCATTTCCTTTTATTTAAAGGTGCTCTGAAGACCTTTCATTTTAATGATTATTCATATAAATAAATCTGTCTGAAGTTTAGGAATAAGCCTTTCTAAAGATAAGCTATTTGCTGAATTAAATGATTTGTTTAAACTGTACTGTATTCCAAGTATAGAACTGGAGCTCTTGAGCTTTCAGCAATTGGAGATGTCCAAGTTCCAGTGGCTACTTCAACACTTTTTAACATTTTTATTATTCTTCCCAATAAGGAATAGTTTCTCCTATACCAGCCTATTTCTCCTGCTCCAGGCTATTCCTCAAAGAAAAACTCTTTACATAAATTTATTGAAGAATTTAATAAATCAGCTTCTATCATGGTATCAAAGTGCAACAAAGGGAAGGAAATTTGCCTACAGATGCAAAACAAGTTGGTGAAAAAGCTAGGAATGTCTGACTAATTGTCATCTTGGGATGAAATTGTTCCTTAAGGACAACCATGACAGGAACTTGCCTTCTAGTGAGGACAGCGTATTGCTGAGTAAGGAGATTAAGGCGGGGAGCCATTGCTGAGCCTTCTGATATAAAACATCAACAGAATTCTTTCAGAAGAGCCAGCATACCCTTGCGAGAAGGTTTGAGGCAGAGACACGAGGGCACAGTTTTCCTCTGAACTATACCAAAAGAAGTTGTTTTTTTATGAAACTGTGTACTGTATTATAATTCTGTTAAGCCAATAGGTTTTGTGAAAATAAAGGAGTTATTCTAAGGTTGTGATTTGACAATCTAGCGCTGTTTAAAGCAGCGCTGAATTATGTGGTCTGTTTGTTTCAAAATAGAAGGTAAGCCCATTCCTACGTGTAAGCGTATGTCTTGCTAATTGTTGGTGAACTTACACACGTGCTCGAATGCTGTAATGAAATGAGGTTTAGGTCTATGCAGAAATGTTGTAATTTTGTCTTTTTTGTTCTGGGTGTGTTATGATAATTCCCACAAATTGCCAGGATATGAGTGCATGGGTCACCCCCTCTTTCTTTTTTTTTTTTTTTTTTTTTTTGTTTTGCCAGGCAGCTCTGTGTGCTTTTAATCACAGTGGCTTAAGGGAGGAGGTGGAAACAGTCTAGAGTACAAGCAGCCCTTATGTTTTCATTTCATAATCTGTTCTTTCCGTCTGACCCTATCGGTCATTTGCACGGCTTTGTGAGAGGCTTAGGCTGTCTCTGGTTCAGTAAGCAAAGAATGAAACATAGCTGGGGGAGTAGAAAAATAGTGACTACATCTTGTAAAGTGTTATGTCTCAGTGGCAGAAGTCATGCAAGATGATATGTTTTCCCCTGAATCAGTCGATGTTGCAATATGAACCCTGGAGCGCTGAAGTCAATGGAAGACTCCCTGTTGTCGTAAATGGGCTTTGAACAAGGCCTTTCAACAGCAGCTCCAGTATCAGCAGGGGCAGCCTTGGCCACTGATTCTGTGTAACTCTGCTGATAAGGTGGATGTCCTGCGGGGGGTAAACGTAGGCAGCGTGATTTCTAGGAGTGGGCATGACTATGTGTGGTTGTCTGCAGTATTAGGCTTGGTCAGTCCACCTAAGTACACTCCCCTGACAGTAGTGTGCTTTGTGATGATCTCTTCTGTGGTATTTGTTTGGCCTTATAATTGGCAACTTGTTTGGCAGTTTATCCTGGAATTGATTGCATTTCTCTGCTGAATGAAATTATGGGTATGTGTACATTTAATTAATTTACACTGCAAAAACCTAGCTCCAGATTTCCTTTCCCTGCAAATAAGCATTACTGTGATCCAGAAGGTAGGGAATACTACGTAAAGCAAAGTGCGACACTGAACTCAGGACAATGCTGATTCAGCTTCTGGGGTAAATGGGCTGGAGAGAAGTGACTGTTGTTGCAAAGGTCAAGGTGTAGCATGAATCTGTTAATTGTACTTAATCTCAGATGACAGAAAAATTATTGCCATTTTCCTGAAATATCTCCAAAATTATTCCTCTTTTCACTACAGCTATCTTTAAAACAGAAGGAATTATATATGTATATCAAGGTCTAAACTTTTTAGGGCCATAATGCCAGGATTGATGTTTCATTTTTTTTGGTGTTTTCAAAGGCTTTCAAAAAAAAAAAAAAAATCAAGACACCTGCATCTTCTAGCACTGATGTTCAGGAGTGCCAAGCGTGCAGAGCTCCTGTAAATTGTCTGAGCCTGTACACGCTTGTCGCTTCTGCAAACCAAGGCTGTAGTGTCTCAAACTGGACAGAAGGCTTCCACAGTTTTGGGTTACACATCAGAAGGAGCTGCCTAAACATCAGTTATGAAAAATGTAACCTATGAATAGCATTTGCTTTCTATTTCCACTTGCAGAAGAATTTGTTCTGTGGACAATCTCTGCTTGTGACTTATACAGTGTTTCTAAGACTAAATCTATTATGTGGAGGATTAAAAAATTGAAATGGGCAATTCTATACAGCATGGTTTGCTGAAAGATTACCTCACAGTAAAGCAAAGTTGCCTTATTGAAAGCAGGTAATGAAAATTGTAGCTATCATTCTGGGTCTCCCCTTTCAAGTAACAGAACATTTCCTCAAACTGAATTGGGTGTTTTGGTATTTTAGTACCTGCCAAAAGGGGTGGGTTTGGCTGTAAAGGGAAAACAGGAAATGGCTTGAAAATTAATAAAGCTTGCAGAAAACAGTTTTTATGCTTCTGACCAAATATTGCAGGGCCCACAGCTGCCCCCAGGGTAAAGAAACAGGAAATTCGGCAACAGAAAGAGACAGTATCTTTTTAGTTACAGAGCAGCTGTGTGAAGGATATCATCAAATTGAATGCTTAACTTACACTCTTTGAGTGTATTTTTAGTGAAAGAGTAGGAAGGAAAAATATGGGTTTACTTCTGATGGAGATGTTGTAAGCTAAGATTTCACTTGTACTAGAGA